CCGAATAAAAGGATCGTGTGTTGGTATAAACAAGATCGGAGTGTGCACCGGTTCTGTAATGAAGTACCATGTCATTTATTTGTAGTACTATGTCATGTATGTTGTGTGATCACCAGATGTGTTGAGAGTTTAAATTACCTTTAGTCACCACTATGCACTTATTTCCTAGTTATTATGTTTAATCCCTGCGCTGAGCAATGTGTATGTTTAATCATTTTCTTCTGTTTTATATAAATTTTCTTTGGTCTCCCCCTCTGTTTCTTCAAAAAAGAATCTGCTAGTTGTAATGATTTGTATACAAAGCCCGTTTCCTGGTGCCCCGGATTGCATTGTAGTAGCCCGCAATGGGCCGCCGAACGGGGCACAGGCATTGCTGGGCTAGCCCGACGACGAAACGACGTGGGTCCGTCGTCACATCTATCAGAGACCATCGGTCCGCACCCTGCGGAGGCAAAGCTTCGAACACATGGCGTGCGCCATCCTCCGCCGCGCGCTCTCTCTCACCGCCGGCGGCGCCCACGCGACCCCCCGAGTTGCTGCTGCCTTCGCTTCCGCTTCCACTTCCTCCTCGTCCTCCGTCGTCGCGCCTCTGCGCTCCCCACTAGATGACCGCCTCCTCCGCCTCCTCCGGTCCGAGATCACCTACCTCTCGGAGCGCCGCCCTCCCTACCAGGTAAGGCAGTAATAATTCCCTCCCTTCGCCTTCCCCTCGCACGATTGACGCCTCAAGTTCTCAGCAAGACCCTCACGGCTTCCTCCTCTTCGTGCAGCCGCCGAGTAGCTTCAAGTCGTTCGCCGTGGAGGACCGCCCGGGGGAGCAGTGGGTGCGCCTCCACGCCGCGCGCGCCAACGCGGGAGCCGGAGCCGAGGAGGTGAAGGTCGAGGCCACCATGTTCGACGGCGCCGCGGAGCCTGTCCCCGACGACGCGCCCCTCTTCCGCCGCGTCGAGTCGCTCGAGCGTGGGCCCCGCCTCCACCTCAGCCTCATCGTCGAGGTCACCCGGGGCGACCGCGTCCTCGGCTTCATCTGCTCCGCCTGGCCGGACGACCTCGCCGTCCGCCACGTGCTCACCCTCAGGGCTGGCGGCAGTGATGGTGTTGGTTGTGGTGGGCGCGATTTCGAGTATGGATTACTGTGTGGTGTAGTGAGCTGTCTGTGTCCAGCAGTTTGTTCGTTCGTTTCCTGAGGTTTTGTGTGATTTGGTTCACAGGAAACTGGGGGCTGAGGAGAGGGAAGCGGTGACGAAGTTCTTGAAGGAGAGGGAGGTGGACGACGAGCTCGCCGGATTCTTGCACGACTACGTGGCAAACAAGGAGAAGATGGAGCTGCTCCGGTGGCTGAAGACTATCGAATCATTCCTTAACAAGTAGGATAAGAACGCACACAGCAGGTAATATGGGTGATGAATATGAATGTCTCCTTGATTGTAGGTAAATTTAGTCCGAGTTGTCGTAGAAATGAGTTCAAGTCAAAGGCAAATTGTTGGAAAAAGGTCGAAGTATAATTACCCATGAATAATGGTACATGGTCACAAATAAACCCTGAATGTTGAGGGAGGGGAAAAACATACAATCCATCCATTAGGTAGGGAATCGTTTCAAAATTCATAGTATTGTGGGTGTTCCCGCTTAATCTGGGTGGGGAAATGATGATGATGAGCTAGCAGCTGTTTGGCAGTCACCAGAAATGTTGTTGATATTTTGCTTTGTCTCCATTTTTTGTTGAAGAATAGACCTAAGAGAGAGATGAAAAGGAAAGTAGAAGTAACTTTGTTGATAAAATTTTTATCTACAGTCAGCTCGTGTTCTGTAAATTCAAGCTTGCTTTTGGGTTTTAACCTCTAGTGTGGGTAGTTTAGTTTCTGAAAGAAAACGGAATACATGTGGTCCAACAAGACTGTCAAATGATATACAGCCATTTGCCGATGGCCTACCTGTGTTAATTTTCAGTAGGTTACTGCTGTTAAATTGTTGTAGCCAACTTGTGGCAACCCACAACCAGAAGCCCGGAAATAAGTTTCTGTGTTGCCTCTCTGGGAAAATCTTCAATTTTTCATAACTGGATTGAGGAATTTGATGCAACTATGCACCAGATAACCTGTTTTCTATTACTATTCTGTATCCACAATAAGCCATACTAATCATTAATTGGCTCCCTGAAATCTCTGAACCCTCTCTCAACTTGCAGACACACTGCCCATGTAAGCATGGTTACTTCCTGAACTGGGAACGAATAGGCTCCAACAACTGGTGATGGTCTCCTGCAGTCCCTCTGATCATCCACCCCTCTGCCGTGCTATCTGACTATTGTGTACTGAAGAAGTTTTTTTTACCAGTTTAGATAGCTCAGCGCTCTTGGAAATTGATGGTCTGAATATCCTACTGTGTTATCATTTCTTTGTGATAAGGTTGTTCTCAACGGTGTATCTTTTAAAATCTCCCCCGTTGGATTATTTTGCAATGCCAAATCTGTTCATTTTGGATTTCCATGGAGTTGCTACGTGCGTGCTAGAGTAATCTGCTCTTCTAAATTCTGATAGTCCAATGTCAAAAGGCCTGCAACGGTTGGATTAAGCGGGGCGAGGTTTCAGAAGTCGCATATGCAAGGGAAGTTGCCAGTGCCCGGTAGAAAGAGGGGACAGGCATGAGGTATGTGCTTATGACCTCACTGACAAGCGGGGTCCACCTACAGATTCAACCCTCCCCTCAACGGCTAGTTTCACCCCCGCAGCCGTTGGGACAAAAGCCAAACAAAACCAGAGGAGCTCGCTCACCAAATCACACCTCTCCTCTCTCCGAGAACCATCACTCTCTGACGCTCCCTTTGCTCAGCTTCTCGAGAGATCGCCAAAGAAGTAGCGCCGGCAGAAAGCTCTGCGGCGATGGGGTACACGTACACGCCGACGTACTACTCGGGCCTGCAGGACACCATCGCGTCGCTCTGCAAGTCCATCCTGCCCTCCTTCCGCGTGGGCCGGCGGCTCACCGCCGACCAGGCCGCCGCGCGGCGCCACGCCGAGCAGCTGAAGTGGCAGCAGGAGTCCTTCCACCGCATCCTCCACCTCGCCGCGCTCCACCGCGAGGGCATCGTCCCGGCCTCCGACGTCGCCGCCTTCCGCGGCACCATGCTCGCGGCGCTCGTCGCGCCGCCGCAGCACCCCGAGCAGCCCGCGGTGCTGCGGGACAAGCTCCTCTTCCTCCAGGAGCTCCTCTACTCCAAGTGCGTCTCCGCGGCGGAGTACAACGCGTCCAAGGCGCCCCTCGTGCAGCGGCTCGCCGCGTTCGGCGTCGTCGTCGACTGCCCCGACGCCGAGGTCTCGGCCGAGGAGTGGTCGGAGATCGACCTCCGTGACCCGCCGCCTCCCCCCGCCACTGCGGCGGCCTCCGACAAGCCGAAGCACAAGGCCTTCATCACGCCATGGAAGAGCAGATCCAAGAAGGATCAGGACGTGAACAGGCCGCCGCTGGCCCCGGTGGACCATAACAACGCCGACAACGCGTCAGTCCTCATTGCCGAGAGCTCGCCGTCCGAAGCGGTGCCCTCCGGGAAGGCCGAGAAGGGGAAGAGGCGGCATCTGGCGGGGATGTTCCACAGCGGCGACAATGGCACCGAGAACAAGGAGCCTGCGGGGGAGGAAGGGGTCGACGAGAAAGAGACGGTGAAAGGTAAGAAGAAAAGCTCGTGGGGGTTCGATGGCATCAAGAAGTGGAAGAAAGCTGGCGCCTGTAACAGTGGCGAGGCGGCAGCCACCGGTGAGCAGCCGCAGCGTGCTCCTCCGCGCTCATCCTACAGCGAGTGCCAGCTGGAGGCGAGCCCCATGGCAGCTGCCTCTGGCCCGGATGCCAAGAGGGCCAAGACGAGGCTGCACTCGAACACGGATGATGACTCTGCTTCCGAGCTGCTGCGTGATAAGGTACTGTGAATTGGTGACTCCTCTCATCCTGTATAAGTTTATTTCAAGAGGTACCAGTGATGAAGTTACAATATGCATCTGGAATCACAGGTGCTGGTGGAGAACACAAAGAAAGAGCTCTCAAGGATTCAGGCTGAGCTATCATCTACAAATCGGAACTTGAACTTCTCGTAAGTTGTAGTTCATCCTGTTCTTTGTCAATGTAATTTCTTTCGATCTTCTGTTGCTCAAAGATGGAGTCTTGGATTTTGTAGGAATCAGCAGATCGATGCCATCTCAACAAAGCTTCCGGTGGACAAGTCTGACCTCAAGCCCTTCTTCCCAAAGTAGATTACTGGGCCATCCACCATTCAGATTAGGCGGCACATGATTTCTCATAACTGAGATGGTGACATTTTTTATTTTTGGCAGGGCATGGTGTGATCAGCACGGGTATGGCGTGATCACCGCCGCTAAGAAAGATTTTAAGGAGCACGTCGAAGAGATGGAGAAGCAGAGGGACATCACTGGCACTGAGGGCTGGGCTACCTTTGAGGACATCGACCTTGATGACAACTTCAACCCGAGGGCGGACTCAGCGGTGAAAGGGAAGAAAGTCAATGAAAGCCTCACCAGCGGTTTCACAAACCCCTTCTACAACAAGAACCCGTTCTTGAACACAAACTACAACTGATACAAAGTGAATGATGTTGGCCTCTTTTTGCGTTGGGGATTTATCAGTTAGTTTATATTTTTGTTACTGGTATAATGTTATTGTTGTTGTACTAAGGGTTCAATTGTTACATTGGACCAGGGTTGCTGTTTATGGCGTAAGAAGTTGTGTGATTTTCGTATGTACTTCCCTTGATTATCTATGAATGCACATCAGTTTTTTTTCTTTCCCGGTGACCATTGCCCGACATGAAACTTTACTGTCACATGAAAGCCTATACGGTCTACATACAGCTGATAATTCATTTGACTTCACAAAAGATAAACAGGCAGTTCTAGATGCAAGTTCCTACAATTTATATACAGCAGACATGAACTGCAGTCCGAAACAATGAAAAATAAATGTTTTATAGACAATGTTACGCCCACCGGAAACTAATTGAGGTACCGCCTGCAGTATCTTGATCTACAAAAGCAAGGGATCCTCTGGCCTTCATCTTCCCGGTTGAAGTGGTAATCGTACGTAATTTCCTCCCCTGGGTTTATGTGCCGTTCTGCAAAGAACATTACCTGGATGAACATAGAAATAACAAGTTGTGAGAACCCTGTAGCTTAACATATACCCCCTCCGGCCTCCGCTCCAAATTGTAGTTCACTTTGGCTTTGTCAAACTTCTCTAACTTTAACCATGTTTTTAGAAAAAATATATTAATATCTACAAGTTCAAATAAATTCTCTATCGAAATATTGCGTGAAGAACCTAATGAAACAAATTTGTTGTTCTAGATGTTATTAGGTTCTTTTACAAACCTAGTTAAAATTAAAGAAGTTTGACTTAGGACAAAACCAAAGTGAATTACTCCCTCGGTCCCAAATTAAATCAACTTCTAGAGCTATACTAAGTATTTTAAGTTTGACCAAATTTATAGAAAAGAGGAAGGTGATTCCAAGAATTTATATTTATTTTGGGATGGGGGAGTACAATTTGAGTCGGAGGTAGGAGATATTTAGGTTTCTAACGAGGCTGATGCAAGGCATTTAGACTAAAATGAACAATGCAGAAGATAAATTTTATAAGAAAAACAAACATACATAGGCAAAAGGAGTACCTTCTTTTCATTCCTGACAGAGATTATTTTCGCAACGCAGTTTGGCTGATCCAACAAAGATTGAACGAATTGAATGAATATAAAAGCGTACATTAGAATAATAAGCAGTAACTGGATGAAGGTCCTGTTTGGAACACAAGTTCCATGCACACTAGAATCTGAAAAGAAGTCATCATGTTCCAAGGGGGGTCTAAAGAATGTTCAAGCACAAGTTATTTACCTGGCATGAATGATTGACGAATCTTGCAATCCCACCTTTGCGGGTGGCATCAATAATATGCTCCCTGTCAATCTTAAAGAAATAACATGCACTCTTATATTGTTGCCGTTTCCCGGACTGGTATTCGATCTCTCTTTTGTCAGCAACCCGTTGCCCAACAATTTCACCCACATACTCTACAACCTGAAATATTTTTATGCAAGACCTGAGAATGGTTTTATTTGCTAAAGGAAAAGGTCGAAATTACTCCCATGAAGTTTGGCCAAAGTCCAGATACCCCCCTAAACTAACATTTGGTCCAATTTACTACCCTCAACCATCTCAATTGGTCCAATTTGCCCCTTAACAAGATTTGTCTTTTTTTTTTTTTCTCCACAGAAAAATTGAGTTTTAATTTCGGATTTTGTGAAGTGATAATGCATGTCATGATTTATTTTTTAAAAATACATTATAAATTTTTCAGCATTATGTTTGATACAATTTTGTCTTTCTAGTATTAATTTATTATTAGATGTCCTAACCGGTCAAAATAATTATAAATAATATGATGTATATTTTTAACATAAATTATGGTGTCGGCTATCACCTCACAGATTTTGAAATTAAAAAAAAATCAACTTGAATGTTGAGAAACAAAAAAAATTGGAACAAATGAAATAGTCGAGGGGACTTAAACCAAATGAAAGGCTAGTTTTGGCCTTTGGGGGTTATCTGGACATATGCCAAACTTGGGGGGTAGTAATTTGACTTTTTACTAAATTCCCATATCAGTTGAGTTACCATAGAGCCACGTGGAATAAAGACTGATGTGTAGAGACCAAGTCCATGTATGCCAGATTTGTACACAACCAAATGCTTCCACCCTTTTAACTGCTTGTAATGGATGTACTCCTTCTGAAATGGAAAAATGACATGCATGGAACATTTAGTGCTTTGTCCCAGCAGTTGATTCTGTAATATTTCTTTCCGTTCCAAAATGTAAGATGATTTAGTTTTGTCCTTTTTGAACCATAAAAAACAGCAGGGGAGACCCCCACTGTTAGATTTTATTAAGACAAAAACAACCACAGTACAACACAGAAAGGAATCCTCCAGCTAAGCCTGAGCAAGGCAGGGCCAGAGCTTGTTTAAGACCAAGTTGTCCCATCCCCTGCCCCCCTGTTCGTTTGGTCAAGCTCCACCACTTGTCCTCAGTCATACTTCTCTAACTTTGACCAAGTTTACAGAAAAATATATTAACATCTAAATTACCAAATAAATGCATTATCAAGACATATTTCATGATGGATTTAATGAAACCAATTTGATGGTGTAGAGCACGTGCATTTTTCTACAAACTTGGTCAAAGAGAAGTTTGACTCAGTACGAAACTAAAACATCTTACACTTTGGAACCGAGGGAGAATGCTGCAAGCTATGAAGTATCACTACAGTATATATACGAAGCTACACACTACAATGAAAGATAACTGAAAGAAAATACCTGTCCTCTTCCGCAAGGCTTTGAACCATTTATGCGTAACCAAGCATTTATCTGTTCTTGGGAAACACTGAACTCACCACTGTACTCTTCATATTTCTTATGACTACTAACAGAAAAGCCTTCTCCCCTTCGGCCTTTAAAACCCTGTTTCAAATAACACATAGCTATACAGTCATACAGATATTGATTTACAGACAATAGAAATGTTCAAAAAGTATTACCTCTGTACGTGCACATGTCCAATTGTTGCTTCTCAAGTATTCTTTCTTAGGATTAACGTGACTAGAAAAATCAATGGCGTGATCCATGCATCGCCCATAAAAGCCAACATTTTCATTGTGCTCACCTTCAGGCTCACTTTGCAGCAAACCCTGTTGAGATATAACAAGCAAACATGGACATGGAAAATATAAGCTCCACGAATGTAATATTAGATGCAACCATTGAGTCACAGACATTTTCTCTCTTTTTTCTGCGAGTATGAAATTGAAGATCTGAGAAATTACAAGGACCAACTATGGTTTTACAACCAAACAAAAAAAAAACAGAATGCTGAGAAAAAGAAACAGGAACCTTTTTTTTTACAATTGGAAAGCACATGACTTGTATCATTCTAAAGAATCATGCTGCATGGAAACTATGTACAACAAAACACCCCCCTTATTCCTTGCATTGCTTGAAGAACATGCAGAGAATTTCAGGCATTCTGTGTGTCACTCCAGGTTTACATAATATAGAATATACAAAAATAATAAGTTGTAACCGAAGTTTCAAACCATTTCCTATGAGTGTGCAGTAAGTAAAGGTAAGGGACACCTTTAGCAAAAAGAAAAAAAAAAGGTATATGCTACCATACCCTCTGATATGCACACCAAGCATGAAAGAGTACCAAACAATTTACATCTCGGCACTTGATAAATGAGCCCCCAGTTCTGTCACATATTGAACATGCCTGATGAAAAAAGAATTGCAACAGTCAAGGTAAAGAAAAAGTTCATTAAGGGCCTGTTTGGATCCCATGAATTGAAACCAATATCTAGAAAGTGCTTCTCATTTTATTATTAGATTATTTTCCAATTCCTCTCAATTCCTGGGAACCAAACATGGCCTAAGGGTAATTCCATGGTCAGAATATGCATGTATGGAACTCACAGTATCTCTCTTGGCAGGTGAAGCACCTGAAACATCAAAAGCGCTCATTGTGGTGGCATTTGGGCATTTTGTGCCAGGTGTCCACAGCCCACAGACCATGTGAACCCACTGCATTGTTCGTGGTCCAAGTAAACTCGAATTGTGTTTAACAGAGGTCCAGGAATTGCTGGTGATGTTCTCCGCATTCATAATGCTATCCCCATGTGCACTGTCTACTGCATTTCGCAAGCCTGTTGTAGACAAAATGTTCAAAGCTTGTTGATTTGGAAGCTCAAAATAAGTTATGTTCGACACCTTCCCCATGTAAATACTCACTTGTACACTCACTGCTTGCATTTCCTAAGGAATCAACATAATTTTCTGATCTTTCTGTAGTCATCAAACCTTTGAGCAAACTTTTCAGAATGTTCTTGGTTTTCAGTGCCCTTGTCATAGCTCCACCTCCATAACCACACAGCACACAGACCTGGAAACAGATGCAATGAGACTGGTAGGCTGAACAAACTTCTTGTTCCCTAGAAACAATTATTCTCTATATGATGGATTTTAGGAAAACCAAAGGTAGGCTGTATCATGAGGGTCCGAGTAAAAAAAGGTTGTAACATGAACAAATGTTTTCCCTAAGGCAAGACAGTACAGGGAATGGCCTACCACTAGAAAATGCTTGCAAAGTTTCAGTTAAGGTGGTTGGGTCCACAGTTCAGATCAATAAGGCACAGATGCACTTAAACATAACCAAAGTTGATATAGAATAAACTTTGTGCTTCTTTAATAATAATAATATGCAGCTCTCCTGCATGTTCGAGAAAAAAAAAAAACTGGCCATGGAGTGGCAAATAGGATGCAGCAGCCACTTAGATTTTTAAAAAAAAAATCACTGCATCCATGTAGACAGCTCCTTTTCCTTTTCCTGAAATCAAATCTGTGGATCAAGCAGATTGGAGATTTACTGATATATTATAAAGAAACTTGCCACTTTTGTAAAGTAAAAACAGCTAGGAATATTGTTGGTACTGGTGAAAGAAATGACTAATTCCCTAATTATATTCTTTCTAGATATCATATTCGGATATTCCCGAGTTCCAGTGTCAAAAAATTATTGTTGGGAAGCACCATATCTAGGTCCATTTGCAGGAAGAACCATCAAACGATTTTTGTTTTTGAGCAGCGTGCTGAGCTCATAAATCATTGTGACATGGCATTTCCTTGGCTTTATTTCCTAAGGACAGCAGGAATGGGGAATATAGTTTTTTTAGGTAGTATATACTCAAAGCAAAGAAATCAATGTGCATAATTAACGATGAAGAAGATGAACTGGAGAAGCCATTGCACATATGACATATTATGCTAAATAAATCACCACAAGGATGCATTCACTAATCTATCTCATGACATACTAAATGCATAAATAAATTATTTTCTGAAAATGATTTTGCTTACTGTGTTCATGGTATTAGTCTTGCAGGGTCTGCAAAACCATTGACCTCTAGGAACTTTTAGAACACCATAGCAGGCTTGGTGCACCTACACAAAATACAGTCCTCTATAAATATGCAGTAATACTAGGGCACAGGTACAGAGTAGTATGAAATACTTTGATATAGCACTTGCTGCACTCTATCAATCGATTGCAAGGCTCCAGGTCTGAGATCGCACAAACACAGCATGGAGCATCTGAGTTGAGCCTTCCACTGTATCTGCACAAGATATTAAGCAGAATTTGTCAGATCAGTTAGTAATGAAAGAAATTAGATAAACATAGGGTGTTCTCCCAAGAACGTATCCTTTCTTGGAAAATAAATATATAAGATGCATATAATGGAACCACAACCTCCTAGCATTCACTTCCTGGGCTAGCGCAGCATTGTCTTTGTCACTGCCAGAATAGCATGTTGATTTGCTTCTGAATTTCTTATGCCTCCTAATCCTAGTAAGGGATACACTTGTTCTTCGATTTTTAGTCCCTGTACATGGTTGGAATACTAGGTTAGTAAAATAAAAGTGCCGTTTACTAGTGCATCCTGATACATTTTTTATGTACAAAATACATCTGTTGCTCATGTGAATAGTTAGTACATAATCTGGGGTATGTATTTTTTCAGTGAAAACAAAAGAGCAGCAGTTATGTGGCATAGAATTGGTTGTGTTATGCTGTTTCAAGAAAAAAATGGGTTTCTTACCAGTTCTGTAAGTTGTTGAAAAAAATAATTTAACTGTTTACTACATGGCGAACCACAATCAATCTTTTTTTCCTGAAATGACTTCAAACAACAACAACAACAACAACAACAACAAAGCCTTTAAGTCCCAAACAAGTTGGGGTAGGCTAGAGTTGAAACCCAACAGATACAATCAAGGTTCAGGCACGTGAATAGCTGTCTTCCAAGCATTCCTATCTAAGGCTAAGTCTTTGGGTATATTCCATCCTTTCAAGTCTCCTTTTATTGCCTCTACCCAAGTCAACTTCGGTCTTCCTCTGCCTCTCTTCACGTTACTATCCTGACTTAGGATTCCACTACGCACCGGTGCATCTGAAGGTCTCCGTTGCACATGTCCAAACCATCTCAACCGGTGTTGGACAAGCTTTTCTTCAATTGGCGCTACCCCTAATCTCTCACGTATATCATCGTTCCGAACTCGATCCCTTCTTGTATGCCCGCAAATCCAACGCAACATATACGCATTTCGCGACACTTAGTCGTTGAATATGTCGTCTTTTCAGAGACCAACATTCGCACCATACAACATAGCAGGTCTAATCGCCGTCCTATAAAACTTGCCTTTTAGCTTCGTGGTACCCTTTTGTCACATAGGACACCAGACGCTTGCCGCCACTTCATCCACCCTCGCTTTGATTCTATGGCTAACATCTTCATCAATATCTCCGTCCCTCCTCAGTAGCATTGATCCTAAATATCGAAAAGGTATCCATCCTAGGCACTACTTGACCTTCCAAACTAACATCTTCCTCCTCCCGAGTAGTAGTGTGAAGTCACATCTCATATACTCGTTTTAGTTCTACTAAGTCTAAAACCTTTGGACTCCAAAGTCTCCCGCCATAACTCCAGCTCGATTCACTCTCGTCGGCTTTCATCAACTAGCACTACATCGTCTCATGAAAAGCATACACCAAGGGATGTCCCTTGTATGTCCCTTGTGACCTCATCCATCACTAAAGCAAACAAATAAGGGCTCAAAGCTGACCCTTGATGTAGTCCTATCCTAATCGGAAGTCATCCGTGTCTCCATCACTTGTTCGAACTCTAGTCACAACATTGTTGTACATGTCCTTAATGAGCCCGGGACGTGCCGTTGGAACTTTATGTTTGTCCAAAGCCCACCACATAACATTTCTTGGTATTTTATCATAAGCCTTCTCCAAGTCAATAAAAACCATGTGTAGGTCCTTCTTCTTCTCCCTATACCGCTCCATAACTTGTCTTATTAAGAAAATAACTTCCATGGTTGACCTTAGGGCATGAAACCAAATTGGTTCATAGAGACCAGCGTTATTGCTCTCAAGCGATGCTCGATGACTCTCTCCCATAGCTTCATAGTATGGCTCATCAACTTAATTCCCATTAATTTGTACAACTTTGAATATCCCTTTATTCTTGTAGATCGGTACCAATATACTTCTCCTCCACTCATCGTGCATCTTGTTTGATCGAAAAATATGGTTGAACAACTTGGTCAACCATACTACTGCCTATGTCCCCGAGGCATCTCCACACCTCGATTGGGATACCATCCGGTCCCCCATCGCCTTACCTCCTTTCATCCTTTTCAACGCCTCTCGACCTCAGATTTTTGATTCTCTCCGCACAAAGCGCCTATTGGTGTCATCAAAAGAGTCATCCAACTGAAAGGTTGTGTCCATATTCTCACCATTGAACAATTTGTCAAAATACTCTTGCCATCGATGTCGGATCTCATCTTCCTTTACCAAGAGATGCTCCCTTTCATCCTTAATGCACTTCACTTGGTTGAAGTCCCGTGTCTTTCTCTCACGAACCCTAGCCATCCTATAAATGTTCTTCTCTCCTTCCTTCGTACTCAAATGTTGGTAAAGATCCTCGTACGCTCTACCCTTTGCCACACTTACAGCTCGCTTTGCAGTCTTCTTTGCCACCTTGTACTTCTCTATGTTGTCCACACTCCTGTCATGGTACAAGCGTCTATAGCATTCTTTCTTCTCCTTAATAGCCCTTTGGACTTCCTCGTTCCACCACCAAGTGTCTTTAGCCTCGCGTCCCCTTCCTTTGGTTACTCCACACACCTCTGAGGCTACCTTCCGAATGTTGGTTGCCACCTTGTCCCACATCTTCAAAGTTTCTAAAAATACTAAAAAGTGCTAACTACAGGGCATATAGAGAAACATCTTCCATCTTATGGAACATAATTGGTTTCACTAATATACAGCCAAGCATACTATGGTACTTTTCTCGTACCATTACTTGATGATGATATTGACAGGCGATTTGTTTCCACATCTGTTAGACCAAGAGAGCCATCTTCTCCAATAACTGAAATGAGATGCTTTTTCATATTTCTAGTATTCTAAGAGAAAATCAAAGCAAGCTATATGCTCAAACTAGTTGAAAAGAATGTTCTCGAACCATACCACCAGATGTTCTTTTGTGGTGAGCCACATGTGACCTCAAATCATTAGATGAATACCTGCTCCTTTTGGAATCCTGCAGTTCATATTCAGCTTGTGGACTGCAATTTTCATCATCAATGGAATACTTATCTATAGAATAATCTGAGCTGTTCACAGAACAATCTGAGCTTTTCTCCTCATACAAGTGGGTGCTTTCTGTCTTACAGAGTTTAACAGCATGGCATCTCTTAGCCTTTTTAAGAACCAGACTGAGAGGAACAATTTTAGGAGATTTCCGGTTATCGTTTGTAATCCCTGTAGCAATTAAACTAGAATCAATCCCACCACTCCCGCTGCAAGCACCTTCACTGTTAGTGTTAGGTTCATTAACAATGCAATTCAGAGACACATATTTAGGCAGTTTGCGGACAAATGCTCGACTCCCTTCCTGGTGATGCTTTGTTCTATCCGGAGTGCTCATATCCTCTACTTGCCTTTTTCTATCAGAGGAATTTAATCCACCAAGAAAATTGCCCTTGGCATCTGGTTGCTCGTCACCTTCGAAAAACTTGTTCTGGCTGTGAAGCCGTTTCACAGGCTTATTCAGATGCATAATAGGATGTTTCCGCTTGGTTCTCAACACCCTGCAAGAAAATGAGTTAACCTCATTTTGTGGTTGATAACCCCCCTTTTGGGTCGACTGGGAACTAGCCCTAGTACAATCATCTGATTCAGAACCTTTAACAGGGCACCTCAACGTTCTAGTCTTTTTTGGCAGTTCAAAACAATGCTCCTCTTTATCCTTTTCTTCCAGTCTCCTTCCCTCAGAAATCTGATTACATTTGCGCTTCACTCTAGATGGGCCCAGCTCAGATTTGGCAAAACTATTTAGGGGTTCTTCACATCCTGTACTGGTAGGAACATAGCTGGATGCTGAACATTTCTCGATTCTTGATCCTTCATCACATAGATTTTTATGTTTGCCATGTTTAGCAGTAGAGGAGGATACATTGTTAAATTCAGGAGACGTCTGAAACTTTGTCACTATAATGCTTGATGATCCAGATGAGAAACCAAAATTTGGCTGTCCTTTAGATACTACAGAATCTCTATAAGCATCCTTTTTCTCTGCTACAGCTTTGGATGAACTGTCATCAGCCACTGAAGCTTCGGATACATTCGCCAGTCTCTCCGGTATAGCAATGGAAGGCTGGTTCATTACTTTATCGGAGACATCTTTACAATGAGAAGTTTGAGACAAGTTTCTTACAGCTATTTTATTGCTTAAGCATTGGCATGTTAACTTCTCGTTCTCCCCCAGTGTGCAGCATCTGGTAGGCATTTGCAGCTGATGTTTGCCTTTAGGTGCAGCATGACCTATTTGGTCAATTCTGACATCACAGTGTTTTGTAAAGCCACAACTAGACAAACATTTTGGTACTACAGAGTAGCAGCATCTTCCATCGCAACAAGAACCTCGTTCTTTTGTATTAAGAGCATCAAATAGAGAATGTTTTGTGAAGCTATCTGCTGCATGTCCCGTAGAACTGTAATAAACAGAAGTACATGAATAGAAGCATGGAGATAGGTACAGAAGCACATTCATGAAGTCTGAAATATGATGCAAATGTGGCTATGGTAAAAGAACTAAGTGCAGTAACATTAAAAATCAAGATTTAAGTACTAAGAGAATTATACTGTTTCCTGATCCAAAATAGAAGTCCATGAGGACATCGACACGGTCTCCAATATTTCACATTGATTAGCAATTTAAATGGAAACATGTTGCTTTATTTTTTCGTGACGAATCTAATAACATCGATTTATGTCAATTTATATTATGTTTTAGATATGGATGGCTAAAGTTAAAAAGGTTTGACTGACAAAAATCCTAAATGGACTTTGGGATCAGATCAAGTATGGAGTACATGATGGTAAAACAATAGTTGCAAAAAAGGGAAGGAAAAAAAAGGAAAGACAACCCAGATAGATCCTTAAAAAAGGAAAGACAACCTAGATAGATCCTTATTGCAAAGCGTTGTGGCATCTTAATCTGGCACAAATGCTACAGTAATTATATCCTTGCAATCAGAAAAAATCAGGAAGGATCACAGCTCAGAAAGGATATTATAATTTGAATTAAAGGATGGAAAAAGTGCGCCAGACCCCTGAACTATTAGAGCATCTCCAAGAGTTCCCATATCCAACATTTAAAGTCAGAAATTAAGGTTAATACAACAAAAATCGCCCTCCAACAATCCCCCTATCCGAATTTGGGGTGATATGTTGTCTACCTTGTATGTTATATGGGATAGGGGAACTGTTAGAGGAGAGAAGTATTTAGGGGGGATTTTTTATTAGGATGCCCCTATATCAGAATATAGGGGAATTAAATTTAGGATGGCTTGTGGAGATGACCTTAGGCCCCTAAACTATAAAACTTTCACAAATAATTTAAATTAAATTATGGTATGTAAGCTGCTAGAATAAATAACTAGATGTTATCTAAAATGAGAAAAAAACAAATAACCAGAAAAAGGCAGGAATTGATCACAACCAATAATATTGCATCTTGGTAACAATCATGGTGCTAAAACATTGATGGCAATAACCAGCAAGAATAGCAACAAGGAAAACAGAAGAATCAAATAAACCAGTTTACCTTCTGCAGTGCAGTCCATCAATGGGACATGAGTAACAGGAAGACTGCAAGATGTATTCCCGAGAACATAATGATGATCTTTGTGTAAAAGTGGAGCAAGCACAAAATTCATCTAGCCCTGAAACAAAAAAAGAAAAGGTGTTACAGTGAATTAAGACATGGAAACATTTAAACAATTGTCCATCATAGAAACAACCATTATAGACAAAGAAACCAACCTTCAAGAGTAGGCTTATTGGCTAGAACTGGACCAACATCACTAGAAAAATGAGTCCTGCACAAGTGACCAGGTATAAAACCAAGCTTGGAAACATCTTCCTGAATTTTGCAACAGCATCCACAAATCGATTTTCCCAGTGTTGACTGATCATTTTGGCAAAAGCTAGGTAGAAGCTGCCGAGAAGAACAACAAGATTTCCCATTCTCGCAGCTGATTTTTGCAAAAGCTCTCAAACTTCTATGTGTGCAGTCATCAACTCGCTCAAAAGTACCATGGCCCCTGGCCTGCACAAAATGCATGGATTATAGAAAAGTAATAAAGAACAACCGTTTTGATGGATATGCTTGTTGTTGCTTCTGCTATGTGCAACAAGAAGGTCAACTTACCATTTTATCATAGAAACAGGGAATCCCAATCTCACCATGTGCAACCTGATGGGATTTATTACCCACATGAGTGCAGCTCATGCAATTTGCATGACATGAAACTCTTGCAGAAATTTTCGAGATTCCAGTGTTAGGTTGACTAGGCAGCAAATGTGACAGGGAATCACCATGAATCAAATGTTCCTGACTCTTAGGATGGGATGCATCTTGAGGATTGTATCCAGAAGAAGCCACTGAAAGAGAAATGCCCTCTGATCGCCTTTTCATATGATCAATGGCTGAGGTCAACTTTGAGTGATTATCATTAGCCGCCCTTGTTTCAATCTGTCTAGTGGCACTTTCTGGATGATCAGAACCACATGCAACATCCAGGGCCTTAGGAAGATAGTGCTCATTACTGTTGAGAATGTCATCGATGGGTTCAGGTGTATTATTCCTCTCAAGGTGTGAAAGAAATAATGAGATAAATGAATTCTTGGATGTATCATCCGTAAGCTCATCACCTTCAGAATGCTTCGTGCCATTAACAACTTCAACTGGTTGCTTCTTATTTCCAGTACTAATGGATGGTTCATTATGTTCAGATAGACTTTTGTTGATCTTTGTTGCTTGCTTTGGACAAGGATCTGCACCACATGATCATGGTGTTACATGTCATGTCATATGTGTTCCACAAGCAGAAAATGCTCTCAAGTCTCAAAGGATGTGCACATATAATTATGGATCAAATCAGATGTTTCTACTATGATGCTCCAAATCATACAAAAAAGTCGATATAGATCAATAAAAATATTTAACAGTTTCTAATTGTGGCCTTTCAATTTGACACTTACAAAGTCTTGGCATGGCGAAGCAGAAATAAAACTGTAGATGCTTTATTGAGAATTATCATAGTCAGCTTCTAATGTTGTACCTTTGAATAACAATGCACAAAGAAAATAATGAAAGAAGCACAATACGAAAGGTAAGCTCACTTTGATTTATCGGTGGCCTATGTGTCTGAGGTTTCTGAAATTCAATCATCGCTGACTGCCCCAATGGAAAAAGAGTAGTCATAGATTGATGATAAGAAGATTGCCCAAGCATTAATTCAGTGTTTGAAGCATTGCTCACAGTGTCCTGGAATGTTTTATGGGGGAAATTTGGTCTGCACGCCCTACTATCATGGTTCAGAACTCCTGTAGAACGTGGCATAGGATTACAAAAGGACGCATCAAAGTTTTTCTCCAAACGGATTCCATAACTATGGGCCAAATGATTTCCATTGTAATGTCTTCCCATGCTTGCTTCAAAGTGTGGGCTTCCACTAGGAGTGGTAAGTGGGTTCAAGTCCAACGCATGAAGTGGATGGTTTTTAGAGAGCCCTAAATTCATCGTAGCGGAATTCTGAAGCAAAGCAGAGTTCTTTGTAAAAGCTTCGTGCACATCAACATTCTTTCTGTAATATGTTTCATCTGACCCGTTTACTAGCTTCTCAACATTAGTGCGTCCTCCACCCTCAATGGACAGATCACCGGAATAAGCTGGTTTGTTCATAGATCCAGTGATTTTTTCAAATCTACCAAATAACCCCATTTTTCCTGTTCCGCTGTTTCTTGATGCAAGACTTTTCAATATGTGTTCTTCTGGAGAACTTTTCATACATGCCCATTCCGGCCAATCCCACCTGATGTTAGCAATAGATCCTCCCACCTAGATACATACAAAAGGGGGGAAATGTAATGACAGCTCTGCATAAATGTTTGAACTCCAACAAAAAAGGTTGTTCATAACGTGTACATGATCAGTCATGCTGGAACTGGGCATGTGAAGAAAACATATTTCCCTAAGCTTTGTTTTGTCCATCCAGAGACAAAAATGTCTGAAAGAAAAAGGTGTGCAGGAAGAGCACAACTAAATAAGAAGGGCAGAGTTGTATTCACTATTTTACATTGTGTAATAAAGTGTTGCAGCTAATTCATTATTGTAGTAAGCCTTTTACATGTGTAATATTTTGCAACTAATTCATGGACAAAAGGTATTTAGTTCTATTAATATGTAACTTGGACCAATCAAACTACAACAGATGGGACCACAGCTGGATGTAATACTCACCCCTATGCAGAATTTGAACCATTGTGCAATACTCATGCCATTCTCCACGCGGACAATTTCACCAGCATTTTCTGGAGTTCCTCCAGCATGCTGTAACAAGCATATGCAAGTACAAAACTTCAATTTTTCAGGCATAAAGTGGATAACTTTACCAGCAGAAAAAAAAAGGCCAGAGTGTTTAAATGTGGAGCCAAAAAAAATAGTTAGGACAATCCTTTAGCACCTCACAGAATTTAGCTACAGACATTCGCAACCGATGACACAAGCAAATGACTCCAAAAAGCCCAGCTTCACCCACAAAGAACTCTCCACCTATTCAAGTGCCATGGGCATGTCAGAAGAATTCAACAATGTATGTCAAGCGAGGATAATTGATTTAGGAAACAGCATCAAGATATTGCTATTAAGTATCAACCAATAGTAATCTCAACATTTCTCACTTTCACCAAACAGATTGGTATTAAAATGCTGAAAGCAGGAACATTGTCCAATAGCTGGGTATAAATGTTTTAATTGCACACAACTAATCATGCATATTCAAATGGCTGTCTTTGCTCGAGTCTTGAGGACATTCCAGGTACAGATTTTGGATGTGGCAAAAATGCTCAATAGTGTAACTCTGTAGCCATTTCAAAGACTACCTCCACAGTGATACTGTGGTAGTCAAGTCAGGTTGTAACAACATTGCAAGTTGAACCCACCAACATTCATACAGGTGACACGGATACGATCACCAGGCAGTGTAGGATGCTGATGAGTCATCGATTTGAATGGCAATTTCTGCAGTGCATGGACACTTGAGTCCTGAAACTGCACATCACCATTTGCTATTCCTGCAAGTTGAAATTGCCGCGAGTAGTCAGATCACAGGAAACCTACAATTGTGGACATGTAGTCATTGCCTCCAAATTCACTAGAACCTTACCTTCGTTAGCCGAACTTTCCCCGGTAAAAGTACCCATCCCATTAGCACTTTTGTTCAGGAAAAGCGCTCCAATAGAGGACTGCTCATTGCTACTGCTAGCTGACAATCCATGTCTCGGATACTTGGGCAGAGTGGCAGCACTGCTGAGCGGAGCAGCCCGAGTAAGATCAATGATATGAGCAGCAGCAGTGCTCGCATTTGCCCGAGTAAGGTCCGGCGCAAGACCGAAAGTGGAATAGCTCCCCGGAACTTGAGCAAGCAACTCATTGCCCGGCCCCGCTCTCGCAGGCAGGCCGGATTGCGAGGTCAAATGATTTGCGACCAGGTGCTCTGGCGCTGCTGCCACTCGGCCGGCCGCCGCGGCCTCCTGCGCGGCGAAGGGGCGGAGCAGGTGGCGCAGAGTGACGCCGTCCATCTGCATTTACACGCACGGTATGTATAACGCCATGTTCAGTAGCGGCAACGTATGAACACTTGGAAATGGAACGGCAAGACAACCCCGTACGGCAGCATTTCAACTCCAAAATCGCGCGCACACCATTCACAAGCCACCGAGAAAGCACCTCCCGAACTGTTTGGGTGTCGACCAGAAAACCTCTCGTAAACCCCCCCGCATTAAACGATCGAACCCGAAAATCCCCACCGAGATGCGCACGAGGGACGTACCTGGCTCGGCAGCGGTGGCACCGGCGCAGCGGGGGCCGCCGGCGGAGGCCACCGCGAGGGCCACGGCGCGCCGTCCATGGCGCGGCGCCGCGGCAGCGAGGGGCGTGGTTCAGTTCAGTCGGTGGTTGGTGACCGGCAAAGTGGCACCCGCAGCGAGGAGGGAGGGGAGGGGATGGGAATGCGAGGGGTGAAAAGTGATTTCGCAAGCGTGGGGTAGGCCGTGGGGACGTGGAGTAATGGGGTAAGCTGCGGTCGCGCAGCGGCGGGTACAGTGCCGCACTGCAGCAGTCCGGCTCGCTTTTGATTGTCTTGTCGCGTCAGGCGGTCAGGCCAGACGCCGTGGCGATGGGTTCGGCAGTGGTTCTTGTATCCATGGACCTCGCCCATTGGTCGGCCTGATAGCACGCCGGCGAATCGCCGCCGGTGACGCGCTGCGGCGCACCGGCCGACAGTGGTGTCAGCGGTCTAAGCACTGATTGATTCCCACTGTCTTCTTTCGTCTCAATGATGTCTTTCCCCGATTTTTACTGCTGCTCCTGCTCTCTCCTTTGCTCTTGCACCAGACCTCCGGACGCTGTAAAAAAGAGTCGCATAGCTGGTCGACAATGAAGGACATGTTTGGCTGGGCTCCTCCTTAGCTCCGGTTCTGACTCATGTGGAGGAGCTCTGTCAAACATTTTTTTTAAATAAGTCGTTTTTCAGTAAAAATCAAAGGAGTTAGAGTCGTTTTGGAGAAGCCACAAATTATAGCTTCTCCAAAACGGCTCCGTTTCCTGTGGAGGAGCCCATCAAGAGGAGCCGTTCCAAACACCCCTGAAAATGGAGCCATTTTAACTTTAGTCTCGCAGCTTTCGTACTCCGTACCTACAGTAGGTTCATGTAGACCCAGTGCAGCGACCACTCTGACGCCAGAGGCCCTATTTAGTTCCACTTCGTTTTGCCAAATTTTTCAAATTTTTCCGTCACATCGAATCTTTAGACGCATACATGAAGCATTAAATATAAATAAAAAATAAAACTAATTACACAGTTTAGACGAAATCCACGAGGCGAATCTTTTAAGCCTAATTAGACTATAATTGGACACTAATTGCCAAATAACAACGAAATGCTACAGTGCTCATTTTACAAAAAAAAATTTGCATCTAAACTGGGCCAGAGCCATGGCACGAGGAGCGGGGCCCGGTTTGTCCTACAGTCCTATACAAACCCTCGGAACAAGCCTCTATTTAGTTCCGTCCCAAAACTTTATGCCCTATCATATCGAATATTTGATATATGCATGTAGTATTAAATGTATACTAAAAATAACTAATTGCACAGTTTGCGACTAATTTGCGAGAGAAACACGTAAATATTTGTAGTTTTGCCGTACGTTGTAATCGGAGGTGGCATGGCACTCAATGACATAGGGTTTATACTGGTTCAGGCAACGTGCCATACGTCCAGTTTGAGTCGGTCGGTGACTTTATTCCTGAGCCCACGTGCTCGAAGTTTGCAGTGGGGTTACAAATGAGAAGGAGAAAGATGGGGGTACAAGAGGTCCGGTCGGACTCTGGTCAGAGGGGCCGAGAGTGACGGGAGCTCCGCTATGTGCTATGTGTTCGAGCGTGTGCTCGAGCTTCGAACCTAGTGGTTCCGTTGTGGTATACTAGTGAACTTGATCGATCTGAATAAACTGAGTTGTTGGAAGAGAGCGTATCTCCTTTTATAGATGAAGGGGCTGACTTTACAAGTGAGAGGGAGAGAGAACGTGTGCTGTTAAGTCTTGCTGCCCATGCCGACGGGTATAAGATAATGGTAGGCGCCGATAACATTGTTAATGTCACTGTTGAATGTCAGATGCATATGGGAGGTTACGTCGTCTTCTTTCGGCATGACAGATGTCGGCGCATTCCTGTTCGAAGAAGCGGGTCGGGGTCGGAAGTGGTGTTTGGCCAGGTCTTCCGGTCGGAGAGGCCGTTCGGAGGCGGGCTAGAAACCGAAGCGAGCGCTCCGGTCGAAGATGTGGGCTGGAGTCAGAAGAGGGCACTGTTCCTCCTCGACCAGGCCTTCCGGTCGGAGATTGGATCGTTCCTCTGGCCTGTCGTCTAGGTATTTGGGCCGTCCCATGAGTTACGCGTTGCTCGCAACGTTGTCTGTTGGGGCGAGCCTTTGTTGGAAAGCCGATCCATGAGGGACCCCGGGTTTATGAACTCGACAGGAGCCCCCGAGCCCCCGGGCGATTCGGGTAGAATCGTCTTAAGGTTTTTTGTCTTCACGGAGCGCACCCACGGGTGTAGCCCCCGAGTGATTCGGTTAGAATTGTCTGAGAGGTTTTTTCGTGTTGCCAGCGGGGGAGGTTTTGTTTCATCAGCGGGTGCGCACGAGCGCACCCGCGGGTGTAGCCCTCGAGTCCCCGGGCGATTCGGGCAGAATCACATGGGGGTTTTGTTAGCGGGTGTGTGTGCGTGCATTTTAGTTGAGACAGAGTCGTCAACCAAGGTGCCGTGCGTAGCCGGGGCAGTTAGTTTAGGGATCGGGCGAGACGGACTCGCGGTTTCGGGTGTCAGTGCATCCCGCGCAGCTGAGACAGTTAGTTTTAGGGATCGGGGCGAGACGGACTCGCGGATCCTAGGGTCGGTGCAGCCCGCGCAACCGAGGCAGTTAGTTTAGGGATCGGGCGAGATGGACTCGTGGATCCTGGCGTTGGTGCAGCCGAGGCAGTTAGTTTAGATGTCTTGAGCCCCTGAGCCCCGTTGGACTTGGTAGGGGTCGGTTTGAGTTTTGTGTGTTACCCCGTCCTCGGTTTCTCACAACCGGAGGGCTGAGCTTCGTCACTTGCCTTGATCGCTCGGGCTCGAGTGACGTGCTCGGTGAGCTCACTAACGGGTATGATCGAGTGAAATTCGGGTTCGTCGTTCGTGACGGGGTCGGCATAGCCCTCTTGTGACATTCCACTGCTCCTTTACCTGCAACCCGACAGATGCCTGGGTCGTTCTGGAGACCGACCCAGGTGGCCCGCTGGCCTCCCTTCGATGGAGATTCTGTGGGTTTGACAGAGGTTTAGGATCGAACGAGAAGGTTGAGATGACCCTGTCTGCTTTGGGGCAAACTGGGCGAGGGCCGCACGAGGCTCATCTGCATTTTCTCCCCTGGCTCTGTTTGACATGAGACGGCCTCGAGCCCTTCGTGGGCTAGCCTTCGAACCACGGACGGTCGTTGCTCATGTTGAATGAGGCAACTGTCGCTTCATGACGCAACCCGGAGCGTTGTGATGCATTTAGCTGCATGTGGGATGCCTTAGTTCCCGAGCCCCCGAGCGATTCGGGCCTGAATCGTCCGGGGGGCACGGGCGTATGAAATGAATGCGTGTATGGATGCATGAAATGATTATAAAGAAAGAGCGGGGGTCGATAATGTTACATTGATGACTCGAGTGACGGGGTTTGAAGAGCTCCAATCGGAAATGTCTGACCGGGACCCGTGCTCATCGTTCATGACAGAGTCGGCATGGCCCACATGGGGCGTCCCTTTGCTCCTTACCTATCTCTCGGCGTTTTCTTGAGCCGTTCGATCGACTTTAGGAAGCCCGATGGTCTCTCCTGGCGAAGATCTCATTGTTTGGGTTTTTCCAAGTCTCGCTAGGGAAGGCGGAGAGCCGCCTACGTGTGGTGGCGCTTTGGTTCTTGCGCGCGGCGTGTGGTAGTGGTGGGCCATACCCAGGCCATGTCCCGTCTGATCAGGTGCCGTTCCATCGGGCAGGACGTGTCTCATCGGTCAGGGCGCGTCCCATCGTATCCCATCTGCATTAAATGGGGAAGGGAGAGGGGTTTTCGCTCCCGTTGTTTCGCCTTTCCCCGATTGACACGCCTTCCCCAACTGTTGCGCCCTTTCCTTAAGTAGGAGAAGGGAGAAGGCTTTCACCCTGTTCCCTCGCCTATTCCTCATCTGCCGCCTCTTCTCATCTTCCTTGTTGCTGAGAGTGTTTGAGAGCCACAACGGTTCCTAGGAGAGAAAAGGGGAGAGCGAGGGAGAGGAGAAAACTCACAGTTTCATTCGTAAACCCGGAGCGAAATGTCGAGCTGAAGGTCATCCGTCGTGAGAGAGTCGGTGCTGGAAGCCTTCGTCGTGAAGGGGTTCCTGCCGCCGAAGGAGGTGGCGCACCAGAGGGTTCCCGGGAGGGAGGATTTCCCGCAACCTTAGCCCGGCTAGGTGGTTTCCTTCCTCGCCTTCCACGAGCGCGGGTTAGGATACCCCGCGCACTGGTTCCTACGCGGACTCCTCAATGAGTGGGGTCTGAAGCTGCAGCACCTCAATCCAACTGGGGTGCTGCACATCGCTGGCTTGGTCACCGTCTGTGAGGCCTTCCTCGGGATGGAGCCGCACGCGGACTTCTTTCGGCGGCTGTTTTCTTGTCGAACTTTGTCGGTGGGGAATCCGCCTAAGGCCGCGCCGATGGGGGGCTTTGCCCTGTAGAATAAACTGAACGCGGGAGGCTCGTATCCCATGTACATCCCCTGCGACTCCAATTGGGGGTGGCACGGGGAGTGGTTCTATATTAGGAACCCGGTGGAGGCGCTGTTCCCGGCGTTCACCGGCGGAAGGCTGGAGAGGCGGGAAAGTTGGTCGTGGGGCCCTTCCCGTCGGGAGAAGAAGAAAGTGGAGATCATCGAGGCAGAGCTCCAGAAGCTCGTGCGCCACGGCCTTAACGGGGTGCAGGTGTTCCACACCCTCTACCGCTGTCGGGTTGCTCCGTTGGCGGAGAGGGCGCGGCCGATGTGGAAGTACGGTGGCCTGACGGACCCCGATCGTGCGTCGCCAGAGGAGCTACCGAACGATGAGGTCTGGAGTCGCCTCGACTGGGTGCTGCAGCTAAAGCCCAAAGAGAACGTCGATGGAAAGCCCGGACCTCTCAACGCCTCAGTGGTGTCCAAACTGGTATGCTCCCCTCTCTTTACTCCGTGCTCTTTTCCCCTTTGCTTTCCTGCTTTTTTTTATTTTGAGTCGCCTGTTTTGTAGGGACTTGAAGCTTACAAGTCCCGCCCGCACCTTTCGAAGGGCCCGGAGGGCGCGACTCGGCAGGCCGCCCAGAAGGAGGCGGCGGATGCCAAGAAGAAGAAGAAGAAAGCCGAGGTGGCTCAGCAAAAGTATGAGAAGGAGAATGAGATCGCCCGGCGCGTGAAGGCCGGGGAAAATAGGAGCGACGTCGAGTCAGAGCTCGAGTCGGAGGACCCCACAGAGGTGGGGGATGACATGATTTTCTCCGAGGAGGAGGAAAGCTGGGAGGTCGTTGTGACCTTTGCGGAGCGTCGTGATCCTGCGGCCGTGTCCGCTGGTGGTGAGCAGGAGGCGGAGAGGCGCGGTGATGTTCCCGTGCCGAGGAAGCGTGCTGAGAACGCGGACGCCGCCGATGAACGGGAGGCGAAGCGGAGGCGATCACCACGCCCTTCAGTGGCGTCGCCGGTCTCGTCCCCACCTGCCGCGGGCGCGGCCGAGCAAGCCAAGCGGTCAGAGGATACCCCACCTGCTGCTCCGGTCGGCGTGCCCCGAGCTGAAGGTCATGGTGACTCGCGGGCCGGGCAGGAGCCGGTTGGGTCGACTCCGCCCCCGGCTGAAGTGAGGGGGCGCGGGTCGCAGCCCGGGAGCGGTCCTCGCCCTACGGGCCTGTCAACGTTGGGTCTTTGTTTCATAGTCATACTGCTTACATCCCGGTACGTCTTTCTTTGTTTCTTTTCGATCTTGCTGTTGAGTCTTTTTTTAGTATGACTGACCTGTGCTTTTTGACAGCGGCCGGGTGCTGACGGGGTTGAGCATCACCCCAACTCCCGTGCAGGAGGTTTGGATCTTTCCCTTCCGGGGGCGGGGAGAGCAGGGTGGTGGCGGTGGATCCTTCCCTTCCGGGGGCGGCGCCCCTCGGATCGGTCACTAGCACGGCGGTAGCGTCGGCGTCGGCGTTGGCGACGACGGAGGTCGCGTTGGAGGTAACCCTTGGGGCCCCTCCTCCGCCGGCTGCGGCGGAAGAGGAGAGGGAGACTGGGTTCCCTGCCTCGCCGGGCGGAGGGCTGCACGGCTCACCTTCCCGGTCAGCGTTTAATTGGGCGCCTAGGCCCTAAACGAGACGTTGGGCCTCCGTCTATCGTTTAATCATGATTAAACGAAGTTTAATTGCATTTTTTCTAACCTTGTTCAAAATGACTGATAATATTGGCCTAGCTTCCATGGACCAAAGAAAAGCTGAGATGCAAATAATCAATTCTTTGTTTTATATTGAACCTCTTGCTTTTCTCCTAGCTGATTCCTAGTGCTCACCTATTAGTCCATGATTTAGAATTAGTAAATGCTGCCACAATTTTCTTCCTCCACATGTTTTCCAATGTCACTTTTGATAGTGGTGTCTCAGAATACATGGGACTACAGTAATAGTGGCACACTTGGTCTGATTTTGCTGGATTGCTCCCTACTACAGATTCTTGCTAAATAAGAGTTTTTACAATGCATAGTTCTGATTCATGCCTGTTGACTAAGAAGTTGCTTGTGTCTGCCTCTGAGAAGTTGCTTATGTTTGCTCGACAACTCAGAAGTTAGGACTCCACTTTTTGGTGGAACTGAGGGTTGTATTTCACAGTTGTTTCTGTTTCATAAGAGGTCGTTTCAGTGCCATAACTTCTAATCAAAAGGTTCACATGAATTCTTTTGTATCCACAGACCTTGCATGATTGTGAAGAGAGTTGTCTGCAGCAACGAAGCAACACTGGAAATTCATTGCCTCCTAATACCTTAAATTACATCCAAAAACTTCATGATGAATTTGAGACCTCAATGTCAGATGATCTTCACACTTCAGTGGCATTGGCTACTATTTCTGAGCCATTGAAAGTTATGAATGATCTTTTGCCCACTCGTAAGGTAAATTTATTGATAAACAAATGGAGATACAGTTCATTTGTATTCAGGCTGTGTCAACTGTACCATTCTCCGTTTTCATGCAAACGGCAAAAACTATCTAACTTGTTTTGACCTACGCCTGGCATTTAAATAGGGAAAGAAGCAGGACAAAAGGTTGGAATCGCTTTCTGCCTTAGAAGAGAAAATAAGAGTAGTGCTCTCTGTTCTAGGATTGCTACCTTCAAGTTATCATGAGGTGAGTGCAATGTTCTGTTGACCCTGCCAAATTAGTTTCAATATATACTATCAGCAAGTTTACAGTAGACATATTCATGGGGGCTCCAGTCCTGCCCCAAAGCCAGCTCAAGCTCAACTCCACTGGCTGGATTGGGCTTATTTTCCAGCCCACAAAAAGAACAGGAAGCCAGGCTTGGGTTTCCCGTTTTGACATGTGGGCACTGAAGCATGAAAAAGGCTGGCCCAGCCTGGAAAAAATGGCATTTACGGGCGGGCTTGAGCTTCAAAGTTTGGCTCGGTGTCGAGCTCAGGCCTTGGGGGTTGTCACCAGTTTTTCTAAAACCTAGCCTGGCCTGGCCCCCGCATTTGTTCTACAGCTAGTTTTGGTGCAGAACAACTCTGTAAACTCCTGGTATTAGGAAAGATGAATATGTCACAGTAAAAATGCGACAAAGGCCTACCTATTAGATGTATTCAACTTTGAACACACAGAGTCATCCTAAGTTTAACATCCAGTTCAGCTGCCCTTTTCTAGCTGTTTCTGATGTTATTTAGATTAGATTCTCCTTGATGAACGAAAGAAGGGAAAAGAAACTTATATTAGCAAAGTAACTGCCTATAGCAATGCAAGTCTTAAGCAGAGCATGCAAGTGCAGCCAAGAAACTTTTCAGAAGTAATTTGGATTGCAGACTAGTAACTAATTCCATCCAATTTTTACACTATGATGTACTTTTTTCAACGAACAAATAGTGTTTTTCTCTCACAACAAATCAGCTCAACAGTACTTTTTAGCCAAACTTATCATCCAAGCGAACAGGGCCGTAGTTAAGCTGACACTTATACAAGCACCTTTCACTTGCATAACTTGTTCCATTAATTAATGCTACTAATGAGCTTCTTCTCTCAGGCTTTGCAACAGCTGCGGGATAAAGCGCTAAGACGAGCTTCCATCACTGAGGAGCTTGTGGTGCAGAAGAGAGAGGACTGCAGCAAGGAAGGCGAAGCAGTATGAAAAATCTGACGAGATCCGGAAAGAATTGGCTGCTGTTGGAATTGCCCTCATGGATGGCCCCGACGGAACAACTTGGAGACCATCTTTGCCTCTTTCAGAGGAAGCAGTGGTTGCGAAAACATGATCTGCGCACGAAATTCCAGTGCGACCCACGGACACCAGTTCTAGTCGGTAATCATGGGTTTGCACAATTCTCTGCTCCCATTAGAGCTACAGTAGTTACATGCTCGTATTCGGTAAAAAGATGCCCTTTTGGTTTTCGCTTTGCACTGAGTCCTTGCCTAACGATTGAAATGTAACATGACAGCCTTTACTGCAAGTTCTGTGAATCATATTGCCGAATATTTTAACTAATACTCAATCCATCCTAAATTATAAAACGTTTAACTTTTTTAACATCAAGTTTGACCACTCGTCTTATTTAAAAATTTGGATAAAATATCACTTCTTTCGTCGTGATTTAGTTTATTAATAAAAATTCTTCAAGAATGACTTAAATTTGACTATATTTGCACATTTTTTTTTGAATAAGACGAGTGGTCAAACTTGGACAAAAAAATCAAACGTCTTACAGCTTTTTCGTTTGGCTGTGGCTTATCGTAAACGATCGTAAATTTTCAACCGGAACATCATTTTTCTCTCACACAAACCAACCAGCAATATTTCTTCACGAACCAGCCAACAGAACATGCTGTTACAATTTAGGACGGAGGGAGTACCATTTTCCTTCGAGTCCACAAAGGATTGTCTGCATTAGCTGTGGCCAAATTACCAATCACGTTCTAAGATATTGTGTACATTATGCTGGCTTAGATTGGAATACTGCACAAGGTATAATACACGTTAAGACTAATGCAAACAATCAATCACACTTCATTAACGCAAATACGGTACTGTTTGCTTGGTTCAGTGCCAACGAGGCAACGACGCAGTTCTTTCGGTGAGGGGCAGCCGCCAGCCGGGCAGCATGTGGGGTGCCAACGAGGCAAGCAGCGGCCACGTGGCGTCAATAGGCAGGTCCCGGTAGACTAGCACGTGGGCCCCCGGTTACATGGCGCTGTGGCCCACGTGCCACGGCAACCACACGCTCTCGGCTTCGTGCTCTCCTGTCCGCCGCGCAACTCTAGAGAGAGAGTTCAAAGCGCAACAGTTGCGCACACTTTTTCCTCTTCTCGTGGCCGCTCGCCCTCGATATACTGGCACTGCTCGCGAGAATTCGAACACCAAGCTCCACGGCCCCTCGCTCGCAGCTCGCTCCACGACATGACGGCCTCGGCGCTGCAGGCCGAGCGCCACCTGCTCCTCCTTGGCAGCGGCCGCCACCGGCCCCTCCTCCGCATGCTCCCGCCACGCGTGCCCCTCCCGTACCGGCGCCGCAGCTGGCCCCGGGCCGTGAGGGTGTCACACGGCGACGGCGGGGGCGCGGGAGGGTTCGCGAGCGCCGTGGAGAAGCGCTCGATTCCGGGGATAGTTGGGGAGGAGGAGCATGGAGCGAGGGGAGAGGAGGAGTTGGAAGGAGAAGTGGCCGGGGCTTTGGAGCTGAAGTGGCCGCCGTGGGAGGGGTTGGCCGAGCGGTACAAGCTCATCGGCGCGACCTCCCTCGCCTTCGTCATCTGCAACATGGACAAGGTGACTCATCCTGTTTGTGTCTCATGTGGACGGTTCCGTCCTTGGCAGTTTCCAGTTGGCACGGGATGACAGGCTGTGAGGCTGACAGCCGGCTAATTGCACTGTTACGATTTTCCTCTATGATATTTTGAGCTGCTAGAATTAAAATGATTGTATGGATTCGAGTTGTTGACCTGCTATAGTTTTGCTCATGGAAAACTACGGTTTATGATTAATTAGCAAGTGTTGCCAATGGCATTTACTGGATGTTCATTGGGAATTTGGGTGGCAACTGGCAAAATGACACTACACGCTGTGATTACTGTTTTCTTTTTTCCTCTGGGTTTCCTTTAGAGAACTTTAGCTGAAGTCCACTGATGCAATAGTCTTTGTGCTTGCTCTAAGGAAACGTGCCATATCTAACTTGTCACATTTTTCAGGGCTCATTTTGGCACTCATTTGCATCACTAGTACAAACATGCAACCTTCACTGGGGGCCAACAGGGTTTTTAGGCATTTCCTTACGAGCATGAAATTGTTTGAAGTAATGAAGATGCTATTTACAGTTTAATGCACTCTTCTTCACGCGACATGTTTATTTAGTTCTATAAAAGCTTTTATGGATGTTCGGTATCATCCTTTCCTGAGAGGAGCATCTATTCATTGCAACATTCTAGTTTTGCAGGTTAACTTGAGTGTCGCAATTATTCCAATGTCACATCAATATGGTTGGAACTCGTCAACTGCTGGCTTAGTTCAGTCCTCATTCTTTTGGGTTTATGCGTTGAGTCAACTACCAGGAGGATGGCTGGCAAAATTGTTTGGCGGAAGGTTTGTTTAGGGTAACAAAATCATCTTGAATATTTACGAATGCAGAGCGCCTATGCTTATGAAATACTGATCTAATAATGGCATCTGCTCATGAAGTAGGAATTGCCAACTGCAACTCTATGGTTCATAAGCTGAACATATCCTTATTTGTTTTTACCCCTTTCCAGGATGAAAATACCTTTATATTACCATTACAACCAAAAACAGATGAATTTTGCTCAAATTTTACTCCTACAATACATATAATGTCTATTTATCTATTTTTTGCTGATTGTAGGAAAGTGCTTGAGGTCGGTGTTGTGACATGGTCTTTGGCCACTGCTATAATTCCTGTTGTAGCAGGGTTTATGCCAGGGCTTGTGTTGTCAAGGATCCTGGTAACCTACTTACCAAAAGTCTTGGCTCAGGGACTGTTGATCCAAAATTTGCGCTACTTATTATGCTCTTGTATTCATTAAACTGTTCTGGCATGTTCCATACTGTAGTCTGTATCTCACTATTTCCTTGTCAATGCATCCCTCGAAGTGAGAGAATGGGGGTTGTATTGAGTAATATAGTTAACGTTAATATAGATATTGAGCACAAGCGGCCGCTCGAAATGTAGTTCTTCATGAAGAACCTAATTCTGTGGATATGGGCACATTTATAACTACCTCCATCCCAAAAAGAATGCCATTCTATTTTTGGGTAAGTTTCTAGAGAAGAGTATTAACATTTCTGATACCAAATAGGTATACTATAAAAACATATTTCATGATGAATCCAATGGGTACTAATTTGGCATCATAAATATTGGTCTTTGTTATATAAATTTGGTCAAACTTATGACAGTTTAACTTAGGACCAAGTTAGAATGACATTCTTTTGGGACGGATGTAGTATTTAACAAAGATAATTACAAGAAGTGTTGGAACTCCCAGAGCTAAGTATTGCAAAGAGATAGTGAAATAACACATTACCATGCAGAAGCATTATGACATGCTGATCCATAATTCCATATAAATTCTTGAGCATTCACATTTGAGCACAGTGTCCAGCCATCACATCTCGTTACCTGTACTTCGGGTGTGTTAACTTGAAAAAAAAGGGCGTACCCAGTGCAGAGAGCTCCCACTCTGCGGGGTCTGGGGAAGGGTGTCAGTGGCAAGCTTTACCCTCGCTTGTGCAATGCGAGGAGCCTGCGACTCGAACACGGGACCTTCTGGTCACAGGCGGTAAGACTCTACCGCTTGCACTAGGCCTGCCCCTTCTTTATTTTGTTTGCATTTATTCTTTGTTAATTGTGTTCGATGCTTCTAGGTAGGCATTGGAGAAGGTGTTTCACCATCAGCTGCTACAGATTTAATTGCTAGGTAAGATCATATCCTAGTTTGGTTCCTTTCTTGACATTTATTGTTGGGACTTCCCTTAGCACAACATGTGTCAATTTTGTTTTCTACATAGTGGTGGTTCTAAATTCTAGCACAATATGGCAGCTTCTGTATTGGCATTTTCCCCCATGCTCCTCTTTTAATATTTAGAGTGAAATTTTCCATAGCTACTTGTGCAGAGTCATGGGTGGTGGCTACATTTGTCAATCACATTAATTTTTATTATAATTCGCACTGTTTCATATGACATACATTTTGGCATTTTGCAAGAGTAGTTTGAAACTTCAGGCTTTCGTTGGCACTCACATGCAGGTCCATTCCCTTGCAAGAGCGATCAAGAGCAGTTGCTGTTGTCTTTGGTGGTTTGAGCTTTGGAAGTGTCTTAGGGTATGTTGTATTAAGATATATGGTTATTTTTCTTGAAATTAATAAAATATTCCTTAATTGAAAAAATATACATGGTGCCCAATATTTTCATGATCCTTTATGCAACAATTTACATACTTCCATGTACGTGCTAATGCATGTAAAATGCTGAATTCAACTAAATTGGATTTTTTCCATCTGTGTTCGGCTCTAAACAGTAGCTTACATACTTTCTTTAGTAACAAGATACCCCGTGCGTTGCTGCGGGGATTACGAAAAAATTAGAATAAAATTAAATGGAGATGACGTGGATAGCTTGCATTAAGAAGTTGGAAATTAGTGGGATGACATGGCTATTAGTGGGAGATGTTGTGGATAGTTAATGGGGGATGATGTGGATAGCTTGCATGTTGATATAGATTTGTAGTGGGGATTAGCTTTATAAGAGATATAGATTGATGGTAGTACTGTTTTGTCCTTGTAAGTATAAAGCTTTAAAAAGTATTTCCTGCTCTAACTTGTTATGTATTTGGATGTAAACTTAGAAGAATGCAGTAAAAGATTTATTTAGAAAGATAAAATACTAAATCTTTTTCTCGTGAACTGCTTGAGACTGTTCTGCTGGTTTCATTTGTTTCATTCTTCTAGGCACATGGATGAAGTGCAATTTTGGCATCCTTAGCATGATGGAAAACTTGGTTGTTTTCTGTATCATTTCAAATCTTGAGAACTGAGCAAGAGTCAAGACCTCCTTAACGACCAGATGTTAACTTTTTTTTCTTGTTTATCAGAACAACATTGCCCTACATTTGTCTGTATGACTATGCAGCTTGAAGTAATAGCAGAAGCTTTGCTACAGTTAATGTTTTACCCGTTTTATTACATTGCAGACTCCTGTTTGCCCCTCCCATCATTCAGAACCTTGGCTGGGAGTCTGTCTTTTACATATTTGGCCTTCTTGGGATTGTTTGGTAAGCAGATATTTCTATGTAGGTACCAAATAATCTATTGTGAGTGAACTTTATTTTCTGTTTTGTCTGCAGGTGCTTAGGATTTGAATCTCTTAAAGTGCAACAGTTCGGTGACAAAGAAGGCATATTAAGTAAGTGCTGATCTGTCTAACTGTCCTTATGATATCAGGTGCCATGATAGAAACTTTTCTTAGAATTTTTTATTAGTTTTTTTTTCAAACACACAGGAGAACTGTGCATCATTATAGTAAGAAGAAAGGAGTCTAGATGACTCGTACACCCCTATAGGGCCAAAGAAGTTTCAAAAAGGATTCGCCAACAAATCTTAACCACAACCAGCGACCATAAGCGAAACAATTATGGCCATCTGCTACAGAGCCCTTTGGCACCTGCCATACACCATAACATTGCCTCATCTCTAATATCCCACGAGATGGCAGCAAGATTAGGAGAAAACCCCTAAAAAATACAGCCATTCTTATGAGATAAATTGGGAACCCTCTGTAAAGCATGACACCACCATTCTGTAAACTTGTAGTTCTCCAAGCCCGGAGCTAAGTGCTGCAGCCCAACAATTGATAGCACTAAAAACCACACACTCAAATACCCAAGAAGTGAGTAAATGTTACACCGTCTCTTCCTCTTGATCGCACAATGGGGCAGCGCTCTGGATGATCAAGTCCATGACAGGACAAATGATCAGCCATCCAACAACGGTTTAAGGAGGCCAACCAAACAAAGAATTTGCATCGAGGTGGAGCCCAGGTCTTCGATATTTACCTCCATGGCCCAAATTCCACTGATCCCACAAAGAAATGGCAGTAAGCTGATTTTGTTGTGAACTCACTGGATGGCATCCATATATGCTGGTCATCTACTCCAGGACTGAGCTCAATCCTGATTAGAGGGTCCCAAAGTTGGAGGTATTCAGATAATGCCTCCGCTGACACCTCTAATGTCACGAATGCAGGTGTTATCTCCTAGCGCCCCGTTTATTGTTCTTCAGTTAGCAATTCTTTTTCTCACATATGCACAAAGAGTAGGTGCAAGGTCAGGTAAGGATTTTCCATGTAGCCACTTGTTGCTCCAAAAAAGAGTTATGTTGCCATCCCCAACAATAGATGTGATCAAGATGGAGAACAGAGCAAATGCATTTGGATGCACTTGGATATTGAGACGGAGAACAGAGCAAATGCATTGGATGCACTTGGGTATCTAGACCAGCCCACGGTTGGTCAGGTTGGGTCTTTTTAAGCCGCAACCATCTCATTCGCAATGCCCATCCAAGGATCTCTAAATCAAGAATTCCCGTACCTCCCAGATCAATTTTGAAAGTCATGGGCTCCTCCCAAATGCAAGTTGTTCTTATGGCAAGCGATTAGAAATAAGTGCTGGAGACATTGCAGCATATCCTCATTAATTGTGTTTTTCTAGGTATTTTGGTATAATTTCGTAGCCCCTCTTGGGCTTGAGCGCACTGTACCTAGAAGGAACAAGAAAAGCTTCGCTGATTGTTGGAGAAAAGCAAACAAAAAAAAATTGCGAAGGCCCAAAGAAAAGGTTTTAACAGTATGGTGATCCTGGGATCATGGACCTTGCGGCTTCACAGGAATGGAGGAGCTTTTGACGGTGCAACTCCTTCCCTAGCAAAGGCACAACATTCCTTCAAAGAGGAATTGAGTCTTTGGTGCTTCGCTGGTGCTCGAAAACTTCAGAAGCTAGTTTTTGGTTGTGGAGAGGTGCTAGTGTAAGTGTCTAGACAGGTCAGGTCGTTTCTTCCTTATAAAATGGGGTTGAGTGCTGTATGGTGTTTTTTTCCTTACAACCTTCTCTTATCTCATAGGCGAGGCATAGAGGTTGCCTTGTATGGGGCTTCTATCCCCTTTCTTTCTCTATAATATAAATATACACAGCTCTCCTGCATGTTCGAGAAAAAAATTAGTGTCTTGACCCGCTCCCAAGCAACAATACAATGGCCTCCATTGGCCTCTTTGCGGCCTTTCCATAGAAAAGCTCTTCGAATCTTACCAACTGCTTTAATTACCCATTTAGGGAATTCCAATGCTATGAGCTGATAAATTGGAATAGCTGTGAGCACTGAACGGATGAGGGTGGCCGATGCATCATACTTGCTTTCCATCTAGGTAACTTATCAGCAATCTTGTCAATTATTGCACAAAAATCTGCCTTAAAAAGTTTGCTGATAGAGAGTGGAAGGCCAAGATACTTGCAGGGGAGTTCTTGCATTTTGCATGGAAGGCCTCTTTCACAACTTCAAGATCTTGGTGCTCTGCATTGGATTGGACTCATGAAACATTTAGAAATTCTAGTAACCAGACCTGATGCCTCACCAAAGACGTGGAGAATTTCCTTGATCAAGTTTCTGCTAGTTACTATCTGTATTCGCATCTCCTGCGTATTTGAGAAAAAAAAGTCGTGTTTGGAGTAAAAACTTCTACTGTTGGGTCATTACATGAAGGACTACCTCCTCAAAGGTCCATGTATCAAGTTGATTTTATGCACTAACCAAGATGGTTTGCATGATTATACCAAATCTGGTTTGCACTATCTTTGACTTCTTCATTTTTAATAGAAGGTATTCTATATGATCACTGTTGACTACCCTTTGAGCTTAATTGTGTCTACATTATTTTATCTAAAAGTATGTTTTTAACTATCACCTCATGCTTGTTACACTTCGCTCATATAATCAGTCCAAACATTATAAAAGTTACTCCGCAGATCTCGGACAAAGTTCTACTGGATCTGATGGTCTTATCTCATCCGCCATGCCTTCGGAATCATCACACTCGTCATTGGAAGATCTGCAAAATTCACTAAAGGTTGTTTTCTGCCAACCGAGACCACACTGTACTATATTTTCAGGCATCAAGTCACAGAACTGTTATCAAGTTCTGACATTGATGAAAAATTAAAAAAAATGAGTTCCATAGTCAAGGTAGAATAACCAATGTAATTTAGTGTCCAGTTTGTTGCTCATTTTTGTTGGAATATAAGTGAATTGCCCACCTCTCCCATCAGCTTAAGCTTTTGGGTTGAACTGGTCGGTGCATGCAACTTAATATGGTATTAGAGTCAGAGGTCTCGAGTTCGAATCCTGGTTAGCGCAATTAAATGAAATAATTGCTGCTCGCTCCTATTCCACGTCTGAGGCCTGAGGGAGCCTCCACGTGAGGGGGAGTGTTGGAATATAAGTGAATTGCCCACCTCTCCCCATCAGCTTAAGCTTTTGGGTTGAACTGGTCGGTGCATGCAACTTAATAATTTTCATCTCATCTGCGACGTTATCTTCCTAACAAGTTGGCATCAACACACTGTACTTGCAATGAAGCGAACTTTTAGTCTGAGAAGAGCAAAATCTAATTCGACTATGTGCCAATGAAGTTTATCACACTATCAAGAAATCTTGTTATGCAATATTGCAATGTAAACATCTTAGAAAATGGACGCAATGTTTTCTGTATAAAGATTGTTTATGTTTTATAAATGTTGCCAATATAGCAGGCTCGTTACTTGTTCTGTAGGATGTGCCTTGGGGAGCATTTTTCAAAAGCAAGGCGGTGTGGGCAATGATATATGCACACTTTTGTGGAAGTTGGGGGCATTGTACTTGTTTGTCTTGGCTACCAACATTCTTTAGGTTTGGCACCTTGCATTTTCCTCCAAAAGTTACTTTAGTACTTAGAGAAAGGGACCATTGTTGAAATCAGATATCATGAATTTACAGCACATTGGTAAAGCATTCACTTTTTTTATTTGACCTCCACTTGAGGTGGTTGTGTTTGCCTTTGTTGCAGAGTGTTAAACCTCAGTTGTGTAGGTACTATGGTTGGCATTTAGATTTTAGAGAATAGTGATGGGGGGCTGGTGCTAGAGAAAGCAAGAGGGGCTGGTAGTAGCAGCTGGAAGGAAGTAGGGTGATACTTTGCTTGCTTTTTTTTTAAGAATATGCAGGAAAGTGCATATCTATGTATGAAGAAGAAGGTTGTTCCAAAATGGATTATAACGCGGGGTGTGAGGTGCACACTTACATGATCTGATGAGGTAGAATTAAGCTGAACACTAGTACAAGCGATTGACAAGTGGGAACTGGAGTTAGAACTAATTGAATATGTGCTGCCCCACCTCTGTTTAACTAGACGTGTCCTCGACACGCCCTCTTAAACTTCACTAGTACTACTAGTACAGTGCCCTTGATTGACTACCGTGTGCCAGTCCCTGCTGCTTGCAGCAAACTCCAATACTCTCTAGACTCCCAAATTGCTTCTGTTGGCTTCCTCAAGTGGAAGTCCAATGTAGAGGTTGTATAAACCTGGCAATTCTCAGGAGTGAACTTAATATATGCTGTGTGATAACTCATAATAGCATTTTCAGTTAGCTCATAGAATAAAAATTGCTGAACTACTGAAAAAATTGAATATGCTGCTTAAATTCTGTAGGTACGAAAAATTTGCCAAACAATTGCCTTTGTGTCACCTGCGACTTTCATGATGCTTTCCTCTGTGGATCTTGGACTGCCTCCCTGGGAAATTGTTGCTTTTCTTACAAGTGGTCTAGCACTCTCCAGATTCGCATTGTCAGGTCATGTTGTTAAAATTGCAATCAAATTTCCATTTTTTGCATGGTTCTGAGGTCCAAACCTAAATATTTTGGTTGTTAAACAGGGCTTTATTGCACCCATCAAGATATCTCTCGTGAATATGCAAGCATTCTCCTGGTATGTCATTAAAGTTCTGTCTTGTCAATTTTTCTGTATTTATCTTCTTTATAAGAGAAAAAGGAACGTAACATTCTTTCGCCTAGGTTCTTAAGAGGATGACTGACTGACAGTCTGTACTCTTTAGTTTCCATCATGAGTGATTGTTATTTATTTGTTTCCTTCATGCTCCAGGGAATCACAAACACTGTAGGCGCTGTGCCAGGGATTGTAGGCGTTGCACTGACAGGCTTTCTGCTTGATTCAACTCATTCTTGGAGTGTATGACATCAATCCATCTTCATAAGCTATATTGCATTTTATGAATCACTGATCACCATAATGGTACTGCTTTGTGTGCAGATATCACTCTTTGTGCCTTCTATCTTGTTTTACTTAACTGGTACTGCTGTATGGTTAGCATTTGCAAGCAGTGAGCCCCAGGATTTTTCCAAGTCAGAACCTGAGTCATGAATCGTGATGTATGGTTCTCTGCACAGAAGGATCGTTTCAGAAGGAAAATTCGTTTTTTAGTCTAGGCAAAAGAATGGAGCTCTAGGGCAGGGAATAGATGTTATGTTCCTTTTCAGTCAGTTGCAGATAAGAGGAAGCCACTGATAAGGGGACAATGCTTACGCGTATATAGTATAATATGTCACTTTCTTCAAGTTTTTTTTTTATTTTTTTATTACTTTCAACAGTGCAATTTTAGTTAAATACCTTTTCAGTTACTGATGATGGCTTGCGTAGTCCGATCACTAATGATCAAATAGTGTAATACTGCAATGTATAACTAAATGCCCTTTAGATGCTGTAAAGTCTTACTACTGTTGTCCAATCACTGGTCAGACACCTCGAACCAATGCACCAATGCTCAGTAAATGGTACCTGTTGTCCAATCACTGGTCAGACACCTCGAACCAATGCTCAGTAAATGGTACCGAGTGCAGTTCAAACCTGTAGTCCAATCGCTGGTGTAAATGGTACCTAGAGTGTAGCTCAAACCATAAATTAGATAAATGGCTCCCAACAATAGGAGAGCTGTAGTTCAAACCATCAATAGGTGTATGTAGTTCAAACCAATAGGCGTATGTAGTTCAAACCATGAATTTGGATAATGGTTCATAGTATACATGTCAAAAAGCACAATGCATGATGCTGGAAGCACATTACAAGATGCTCCAGCATTAATTCTGGCCTAGCCTAACCTTCTCAGTAACAGACAGCATCACATACAATCCAAGCCTAACCTTCTCAGCAACAACATGGCATCACATACAATCCAAGCCTGAGGTAACACAATAAAATTGAATGGCACAATCACAGCTCCAATAAAGTAAAAAGCAAGAACACACGATTTAAGACTACATGCACAGTGAAGAAAACAAGATAATGATTTACCATCAGAGGTCAAATTTTCCTACACTACGATACCACGACAAGCAACAAGCTACATTGGTCCCAAAGCTGTTCCATGACCTAAACAACCCAACTAACAGCATGGAGAAGCTGAGGTGAATCCATGGAAGAGCAAATCACTTCTGCTTCTTGGAAGGTGGCTGCTCTTCCTCATCTTCGTCGTCCTCCTCATCTTCATCTTCATCGTCATCCTCATCGTCATCATCGCCATCATCATCATCACCATCATCATCGCCGTCGTCATCACTCCCTCCTTCACCATTAGCCTCAGGATCATCATCTTCATCATCGTTGTCACCCCCATCTTCTTCTCCGGAGAAATCCTCTTCAGCATCATCGTCGTCATCACCACCCTCTTCATCCTCGTCTTCATCATCGTCGTCATCATCGTCATCTGATCCATCCTTATTTTCAGGGACATTTTCAGATTTGATTCTTCCAGATAATAACCTTGAAAAAACAATCAAAATCATCCATTACATTTTTATCCAACTTAAGTCGCAGAGCAAATATTTACAAAAAGAGATAAGAAGTTTACTTGTATATTGCCCGTTGGTCTTCATTATATATTTCAGCACCACCATTTACAGTTTGAACCTAAGAAAGCATCAGCACAGAGCACAGGCCAACGTTAGAAGGAAAAGATGAAATAAACAAAGCAAAGCATATTTCGCAACATACTACACAAAAAAACAAATAAAGCAATCAGATATATAGGTGAGAATCATCGGTCAATAACTACAAAACAAAAAAAACAGAGAAAGAAAGAGCACCTAAGAAAGCATCAGCACAGAGCACAGGCCTACGTTAGAAGGAAAAGATGAAATTAACAAAGCAAAGCATATTTCGCAACATACTCCACAAAAAATAAATAAAGCAATCAGATATATAGGTGAGAATCATCAGTCAACAACTACAAAAGAAAAATAAAGTGAAAGAAAGAGCAGTAACCAAGGTGGCACATTTAGAAAGTCTTGGGGGGCAGCCAAATTATCTGGGGTTTCTGGCTTAGAAATTTCTAACTACATGAGAGCTTGTGGCAACTTGAGAATGAAGACAGCCCTCTAAAACCTAACTAATGTTTATGACCAGATCAGTTCCATGTGTGCATTTGTCTTTAATTTGTGCCAGCACTGCCGCAATCAATAAATTACTCTAGACGTGTCCCAATCAATAAATTACTCTAGACCTAAAAAAAATCCTCAATAAATTACTCACCACGAAGGGCGGGCCTGGTGCAAGCGGTAGTGTCTTACCGCCTGTGACCAGAAGGTCCCGGGTTCGAGTCGCGGTCTCCTCGCATTGCACTGGGTACGCCCTTTAAATTACTCACAACCTAAAAAAGTCCTCAGGCACAATCAACTAGTACCCGATACAACAGTGACCTCACAAATTGTGAGTGACAGTAGCTTTCGACAGGGTAAAGTATTGACAGATCTAGTGTTCATTGTGCTTTTCAAGTTAAATTTGTAAATGTAACTACCCAGATCTGCTTAGATCTATTCGCAAAAACTATATGCTACCCAAGACACACAAAAAAAAGAGGGCCAAAATTCTCCAACATTGCCTAACAGTAAATGGATTAGATCTGTAGACTCGAATATTAAAAAATCAGTAAAACGCACAATAGCCCTATTAGCAGAGCAATCACAGGTTAATGGGTTGAAAGCCCGATCCTTAAAGGCAGCAGAATCACATGATTATCGCGGTCAGGGGCGGATCTAGTAAAGGGACATGGGTGTACACATATACACCCAATAATTTTTGCAAAAAGTTAGAAGTTGGTAGGCATCAAATAGCCAAATAGTAGGTTACAGTTTGAGAACTCACCTGGTGGGCGCTCATCGCCGGCGAAGAGGTAGGCAAAGGCCTCACCACCTGGGGTAGGGCGGCGGCGGCGGTAGTCCACCCAGTCATTGCAGACAGAGAGGGCGGAGGGCCGCAGGGACGGCGGCGCCTGTGCGGGTGCTCGAGTGAGCGGGGTGCGGGAGGGAGCGGCGTTGCTTGGTGGGCTCCTGTTACATATACTAGGGTTTACAGGTAAATGGGCCGCGCCCGAGGGGCTTTTTTCCACTGGATGGGATACGGACCGGACCGACGGTCGGATCGGTAAAAGACCGAATCAAAGCCTACACCAGTTAGGTTCAATTCAAAGATCATCTGTGCAATCGGACCGCTATAAACCGGTTGAACCGGCAGGTTTTTCATCAAACCAGCGAACCGGTGGGTTTTTGATTTTTTTCTAAAGTTACCCTTCTATGCACGCAGGACAACCTTATCTACTTAGGGGCATTGATGTACATCGGTAAAAGTAAGTCCTTTAGGCTATCTCCAACAACAACACCCAAAATATAAGACCTATTCGTCCTTTGAGTAGCGCTACAGGCAAAAGATTCAATACATATTCGGTATCTTCTCCAACAACAAGACCCAAAAGAAAATCCTTTCTGCAAATGGGTTTCAAGGAGAGAGGATGCTCATATTTAGGTTGTGCCTCTCAAGCAACCCAAAATAGGTCTCCCGTATAGGTACTCTGTTGGAGGCTGATTTTGGATCTCTTGCTACCCATTTTGGATTTGGGTGCCCATATGAATTTATTGTTGGAGACAGTCTTAGGGTTGTTTGCTGGTTGAGGGAGGAAAAAATTCGACTCTTATCTTTTCGCGTTCATTTTGGGCAGCGGCGGCTCTGCTCCTCCTGGCAGCGGGGCGCGCGTAGCCGAGGGCTCGGTCACTCGGGGCGTGGTGCAGAGCAGGCGACGGGCAGCTGTGCAGAGCAGGCAGGGAGCCGTAGCGGGCGCGGTGAAGACTGCAGAGCAGGCGAGGGGCCACGGCGGGCTGCTGCGTGCTGTGGTGGGCGGATTCGGCGAGCCACCATGGGAAGGAGTGGCCGCGGCGAGCGGCAAGCAAGGAGCCGCCTCGGCGGGCAGATCCTGCAGTGCACTACACCTGCAGCGCGCGGGCAAGGAGCCAAGGACAACGAGCGGCGGGCGGATCTAGATTCCCGCTCTGCTTTTTCAATCTCCGGCTTCCAGACAGCACCTCCACTCCACGACATGGCTGCTAATGGTGAGTTTGTCTAGTATTTATCTGCATTTATTAGATGACAGCACCTCCACTCCACGACACTATATAGCATGCATTTATTTGGTATTTGTCTAGTGAGATTTTTTATATGCTTTCAATAAGATTTGTTAGATATATTCAGTAAGATTTGTTTAGATATATTCAGTAAGATATATGGCCTGCATTGCTTTGTTAATTGACTGATAGAATAGAAACATGGCTCTGATTATTGATTAATGTCATAGAAACGTAAGGTTATACATGCACTGATATGTATTTTTTTGCACACGGTGGATTCTTCGGACACTCCAACTCCGATTGACAGGAACCGGAATTCAACACCTTCTACTCAAGAGGCATCCGTAGAAGTAAAGACAAGAAGAAAATCTGATCCAACATGGGGATATTGTACACAGTTCGCTGAAGGAGGAAAAAAGAAGATCAAATGCATATTCTGTAATGATGTATTTGTAGGAGGAGGGATCCATCGTTTCAAGGAGCATTTAGCCAAATACCCAGTGGCTCCATGTAAAAAGGTGGATCCTGAGGTTGAGCATGCAATGTTTCAAAACATTGAAGATTGGAAAGAAAAGAAAAAGAAGGCACAACAGGACTATGAGGAAGGGAATGCATATGGGCCAGAACCTGGAGAACAAGATGACGTTGTTGAAGTCTCTGTTGCTAATGCACCTGCAGCCCTTCTCAGCGTTTTGTTGCTGCACCTGCAGCAAACAAAGGAAAAAAGACATGCCGCTACTCCTAGTGTTGGCAAGTACTTCAAGCTTAGAACTGGCTCAGGGGATCAACCAACAATTAAGAGTGTTCTTCAAGGAGAAGAAGTCAAGGAGAAGACAGATTTGTGCATGACAAGATGGTTTCTTGATGCATCTATTTCATTTAATGCAAGTAATTCCATTTTTTCTAGCCGGTGATTGATGCTGTGTGTGCATATGGTTCTGGATACAAGGGGCCAAACTTTAATTAGCTACG